CATAATCCCCAGGCTGTGGGTGTTCCAAAAAGAAAATATATATGAAAATGAATATAAAAATTCACCAAAATATGTCCATGGAAAAATCAGCAAAAGAGTCAAGCTTAAACTGGGATAAATAATACTTAAAATATATTGAAAATCAAAAAAAGTTGATGAAATATTTTTGAAATATAGATTTTAGGCATTTGCACAAAGAACATATATAGAAAGATTATATACAATTTTTAGGAGAGGTTTTAAATGATATTTTAAACATTAATGAAATGAGAAATTCGATTTATTAAATTAAATTTATATATGTATATAAATCATAAAAGCTTTTTTCCAAGGTTTTTAGAAAGGCATAACATATATATTAATTAGAGTATTTGTATAATAAATTAATAAAATTTGTCTGCAATTTTTAAGACAAAGAAATCTCTATAAATTTAGTATTAAAACATGGTCAGTTATATGTCAATATAACATAAAGTTCTCTACCTAACTTTTATCTTTCAAGTTAAATAGAAATTTCATATTTAATAAGTCAAGATTGACTTCAGTTTAAATATATTTCAATTTTAAATATATTTAAATTTTAAATAACCAAAAATATAAATATATAATCTAAAAGCAATCAACAATTTTCAACTGATATATTTTCTGGCAACCTGAAACGATAAATTCCCACATATTGTTCCAAACTGATGAAATAGATTGGCCGTAACATATGCGATAGACATAGAACTTCTGTGATTGATTGCCCATTGCCCAGGACCTCAAAAAGAAGAGTGTGAAAATGCGAAAAATATTGCCAGAAATCAAATTGTCAACGCAACGAGGGATGTGTTTTCTTTTCTTTTTGTTTTTCCTCTTTTTTTTGCTTTTTTTTGCAAACCTAAAAGCCAGGCAATTAGCATTGTGGGGGTGGAGAGAGGAACGGTACAGGAAACGGAAACGGAAATGGAAATGGCAACGGCAGAGGATTTCTTCCTTCTTTTGAATTCTGTAGAACATTTTTACCAAACACCTCAGTCCCAGAGGTGGCAGCACCTGACGGTCAGAAACCCGCCGATTTGGACACGCTAATGAACAACAAACTTAAGGGTTTTTTTTTCCCCAGGACGAAGGACGCAGGAGCTGCTACAAGAATATCGTCAATAAGGCAAAGGAAATTACAGAAATTAAATGAAATGCAATTAACCAGCTAAATGAGCAAGGCAGACCCAAGGGCAGAGAGAAAAGCGAAAAAGTTACTTCAAAAGTGGGTTAAGATTTTTGGCCAGATTTCTTCAAGGGGAAAAAGAGGAGGCATTAGGTGCTGTGCAAAACCAATTTGTTAATTTGAATTCACAAATCACAACTGTAGAGCGAAATAAGCCACGACACCTTAAGAAATAATAATTGTTATTTCTAGAAGTAAACTATAAAAGTTCCAAAAAGATCTTTACTGGTTTTCTTGCCAAAAGTTCGCTCTTTCATTATTTCTCCAAGTGCATTGGACAGTAAAAACCCCCGTCTCGGTGACCCCCTTTTCAAGGAGACTCCTTCCAAATTGGATGGCATTGCCGGCGGGTACGCATCCTTGAGCTGCTTCCTTGATTCCTCGATTCCTTGGCCATGCAAATGAGTTGGATTTATGCATCCCAGTTGATACACTCTCCCCGGACGCTCGGTCGCCCGGTGTCCCAAAAGGACCTGCAGGACCTGCAGGACCTCACCTGGCGCAGCTCCTTGCAGCTCCTTCCGGGCATATTCGATGCACATCGATTGATTTCGCATCAACGCAAAATGCGAAACGGATTATTAAACTTGCCACTGGCCAGGTGTATGCTCAGCAGCAGCTACCGGGGGAGGCGAAAGCAGGAATAGCAGGAAAAGCAGGAAAAGCGGTCGGGAAACGGCGAAAGTAGTGGAAGACAATTTTGCAGCTGCTGCAATTTTCGATAAATTCCTTTCTCAAAAGATTGGCGGAGGGGGATAGAATGAGGACGGGATGTGCAGCAGATATTTCATTCATTTCCATAATTTTAATAAAATTGAAGAAAAATATTCAAGGCAGTGCCACAGGACGACGGCGAAATGAAAAGCGGAAAATGTGAAAACGCAAAATATGCGGCTATGTAATGGCGGCCACGTCACGTGCACAGTGGGGCAAATAATTAGAAGAAAAATTCAATTGATTTAGAGAAATCGACATCTAGAAAACTGTATCTAGAAAATTTATTTTTTAGAAATTTATTTATGGTTTAATTTTGTGAATTTTTTACTTAGAGTTTTCTCTATCTTCCTTTGATTTATTTAAGCACAAAACTTGCTATCTTCAAGTGGAAAATTTTAGAGTTCTGTCAAGGTTTTCGTATCTAATTTATTTGAAATATATATTAATTATTCTTCAGTTTAATCCAGGAAGATATATATCATTATTTTATATTGTTTTATTATTGAATTTTATAATATTTTAGTTTCAATTTTTCTGCTCACTGTCTTTGATTGCTACTACTGGCATTTTCATTGTCTTCATTCCAATTTGGGTTTCCTCAGGTTTATTTTCCTTTTTGGTACCTGGCCCCGTTTGGCTCAGTTCGGTTTCGGCTTTTATTTTACCTATTTTTCATGGCATACATGTGCCGCTATTTACCCCGTTGTAACCCACACCCCTGGGCATCCATTTTCCACATTTTCCCACCCATATGTGTGTGTGTTTGTGTTTCTGTGTGTCTGAGCGAGAGCGTCAAGCAAAATGACATAATTCAGTTGCTGGCAAAGTTTTGACTGATGCCATGACAAGCTGCCCCTCTTTGTGCCGCCCCTGGAGGCCATCTCTCTCCCCTTTTGGCTTCTTGGCCAAAGTTCAACGTTGAATTCTGATGCTCGCTGATTGCCGACCATCTTGGTGAACCTCTACACTCGTTCCAGGCTATATTATTTTACACTTGGAAAATATATAGGGGAACTGTGTGAAAGGGGAATCAATTTGTGTTTAAAATGTTTTTCAAGTAAAAGAAAATTTTTTAAAATGAAATGATACCATTAGTAGCTAGTTTCGGTTAGGAATTATAGTAAAATAACAGTGGAAAGTGTGACCAGCTCTATGGAAAATTTTTATACATGAAAGTTTCCTAAGGAAGATTATTTAAAAAATAAAAATCAACGACCCAGAGTTAAAAAACTCAACAAATTAATATAAAATATTTGGTACCATTGCCTGGCCACACTCTAGGGCATAAAACACCCCCCCTGTTTCGCTCAGTGCACCTATTTTTTGAAAGAGAAACAGGCTAAAGGAACAGAAGCCAAAGCAGCAGAAGGCGGAACACCAACACAGAAGATATGTCACCAGGTGGAAGTGCGCATTTAATCCAACCAAAAGTCCTAACATCAACAACCAAAGACCGAAGGACGAATTTCTAACAAAAAACAGCACACAAAAAATAACCAAAAAAATATATATAAAAAAAAGGAAAAGTCAAGTCAAGGCTCAAACTCAAAGGCTAAGGGTGCTGGGGGACACCAGAGGCTTTTTTTATATCAAACATGTGCCGCCTCTAAACAATGAAAATGACTTTCACTTTGAGCCCCAAAAATCAGAAGCAGGAGAATTATACAAAAAAAGCGAAAAATTGCCAAGGCAAATTAAAATGTTCAAAAGTTTTTCCGAGAGGCTGGGAGATAGGAAAAGGGTTACCAGCTATTTCCTCCCGCCATTCATTCTTATTTTGTTTCCTGGCAAAATTTACGAGACTTCCTTCCATAACTCATGATGTTTTTCCGGGGCCTTCCTGCTTTCTCTTTTTTGGCCTGTACTTTTAATTATGCCCAAGCCCCTGTGTAACATCTGAATGGGCCAAAATTAATTTGGCCAAATCATGGGGAATCAACAGGAGTAGGCCAGGACTATGCCAGGACTAGAACCTAGAACCCAGGACGTGTGCGTGACGAAAGGGGGAAAAATAGAATAGAATAAAAATGTTCGGAGAAGGGACATGCAAACAAGGGTTAAGCATCATGTGTGGGCGTGAGCTGCCGCCCCTTTTCTCTCCTTTTATCCTATTTTTTTTTTTATATTTATGGATACTACGTGTTGTAGTGGGCGTGTTATGGGTCGTCGTACCCATTTTAACCAACAAAAAACAAAATGAGGGAAAAAAACACACACCTTCTATTTCTCCAGCGTTTTTAGGGCCAAAGCGACAACATAAAACAGTCGTAAAATTTATTAAGTGACATTTTTGTGTATGTAAAATAAAGCAGCAGGGCAGAAAAAAAAAAAATAAATAAACTGAAATAATCATAAAGAAAACCAACAGAGAAAATATAATAATAAAATGGCATAAACACGAGAAAAACATTTGCTGGATAAACATTAATTAACAAAGCACCAAAAAATAACAAAGAAAATATACATATTAAACATATTTCGGTGATTATAATGAAGAATTTTTTGAATAAGAATAAGCTATCAATTAAATATTAATTAATTGCCCAGCAGCCCGGCCAATTTCTGCTTTTTTCCTGTTGCTAATTTTTTTACATTTTCTAATTGCTCATCAGTTTGCTAATTGTTGTCCTGGAGTCGCCCATCCGCTCCCCCATTGGACCGAAGGATGCCTCGTAAAAATCCCCTCTTGATTTCCAGCCAAAGGACTTCGCTCATTTAGCTGGTTAATTGCATTTCATTTAATTTCTGTAATTTCTTTTTGTGCCCTATTGACGATATTTTGTTGCTTGCCACTTCCCCAAAGTTTTGTTGTTGTTCATTAGCGGACACAAAGTTGGCTGCTAAAATTTTGCGGGATGCCGGGTTCAGGTGACGCCACCCGGGGGAAAAACACCTCCCCCACTAACTAACTCACCCAAGTTGCTGCAAAAATTCTTCAAAAAAGGTGGGGTTTTCCCCCTTGCTAATTGCTCAGCATTTTATGTACCATTTCCCTATTTGCCATACAATGTCTCTTTGATTGAATTGGCCATTTGAGTGTTTGACAAATTTCCTCCAAGGTTTTTAAGCAAATCAATTTGAAGGAAACCTTATGCATTTCATGCACTATTCATTAATGATTTAAACATAAATTTAGTATCAGATCAAATCAAATATATAAAGCTCCTGCTCCATCTTTCTTTTTTGGTTCAGGGACCTCCGGCATTGCCCTTAGAATCGGATAAGCTTCTCCTATAAAACCCCTGAAAGGTAACGAGGATGAAGGCTTCTTCAAACGCCAGGGATAAACACCGCCATGTCTTTCAAGGATTCCTCCCTTGTCCGGAGGACGAATGTTTAAGCGAAAACTTTGCCGGATCAGGGCTAAACCTTTAGCCTCAGCCTGAAGGGCATTATATAGCTCAATTTTCTTTCTGGTCACCATCGAGGTTGTAGGCGGCTGAATGGCCTGTTGAATGAGATTTATGCGCCACAATTCAAACTCTTCCTGGGTAAAGGCCATATTGGATACATCATTAATCTCATGCGGCACTATGAGATCCTCATAGCGCAGTTTTAGGGCAGCATTTGTGGGAATGTCATCCAATTTGTAGCCATAGTCTAGCTCCAAAATGTCCAGGATTTCGGCAATGCGATGATCAGGTGGCTCCCCTGCGCTATTGACATTTATCTGGCATAGTAAACCTATAACTCTTTTCTAAAGTTGTATAACTTGTAGATATATTTACCCTCACAAAGCATCCTGTGACAGCCTGTTCAAAGAAAGGACGAACTATCAGGAGACTGATCTTGTGTCGAGTCAAACGGAGTTGCTCTAGTTGCTCCAGACTGGTGACAGGCAGATCCGGTGGAGGCACCTTCACCTGGTTTCCGGTCCAAGGCTCATTCTCATCCTCGACCCTCAGGGGTGTGGCTCTTAAACGCCTTAGTTCACGTATTATTTCCGAGGCAGGACGACGTCGTCGTGGGTGTTGTTGATGTTCCGAAGGTTCTTCCCCCTGCAGGCGCAATTTCTTGGACATCTTTACCAGAGTTTTAAAGAGTCTGGAAAAATTCAGAGAGCTACAAATGTTAGTTTATATATTTTGAAATTTTAATTATTTTTACCCAGCCTGCTTTGTTTTTGATTCCACAGGGGTTTTAGAGTGGCTTTTCAATTGCCTTTTGAACGGCAGCCAAAAAGTGAGCAAGGAATTTTACAAGTTGATCAAAAAGAACACTCTATAATTAAGACATATGACAAATATATGTTGAAGGACTTAAAAACCCCAGAAGCTTAACATATATATCAGCATTATTAATTTATTTATTTTAAATTTTATAAAATTTCTTAAATATTCTATATAGTAAACCTTGAAAAATCTAACTAGAATAAAGAGTATACCCGCAGTCCACCTTATTCGAGTACAGATTAATCCATTTGAATGCATTTAACGAGCCAGACGTGGAGGGTTTTATGCCCCACCATAAATGCCAGGGGCCAAAACTATTAAATTTATATTAATTCCCAGCAATTTTTCCTTGGCCAGCATTTCACTTGGCACACGCTCCTTGGCCAGCCTTCGTGCTCCTCCTCCGACCTACCTGTGAGATCTTTTCCCATTTGGCAGAAGATTTATTATACAATTGCTTTAATTACAGTTGCAGCTAATTGTATGCGAACCTTCCGGGGCAGATGCTACTTTTGAAGCTGGCACAGAGCCCATTGAGTCGGGTGAATATTGGTGGAGCTAAAGGTGGGGATTGGTGAACTGATACTTGGAGTGGGTGGAATTTTTCCTGGTGGTTTAATGCAAAATCTTTGCATGCTTTGTATGTGAGTCTGCATAAATAAGTTGCGTGTATGGATGGTCCATCGAATATGCTGCTCACGCACAAAACTCCTTGCTCCTTGGGTACCAGAAAGGAGGAACCAACCTACCTCTCCCCCCAAAAAAATCTTTAGATTCCCACTACACACCAGCTCCTGGCCCATCTCCTTCAACATGCGCACACACTTAAGGGCAAACTCGTTTATGCAAGCTCAGTCATCATCATCATCATCGGTATCCTCAAACTCATCCTCATACTCATCCTCTTGCTCATCTTTATCCACATCGTACAGCGAACTGTGGCAGGTATCAGCATCGGCATCCAGGCCATATCCCATATAGTATATATATCCATAACCGCCCCCAGGTTGTCCAGTTTCCAGCTGACCAACAGAAATTCACTTCTGACTAAGTTGAAGGTTTCTTTTTTGCCACTAAGAGAAATCAACTTTACACAAAACTATATAAGAAAACTAAATTAACAATATATAAATCTAATAAATACTAATAATGTAAGTCATAGAAACAATTTAACCAAGACTTTAAAACCCTTTAAGCTCCTCTCAGACACAATCATTTATATCTTTATAATACCCTGACAGGGCCTGGGCTAACTTTAAAACAATTCATATTATTAAAACCCAGTGAGTCTAAAAATCATGCATATAATCTAAACAAAGTAGCCGTAAGTGTGAAAAATCCTAGAAAATGCCAAAATGCCTTGAGACCCATCCATCACAGGACCATCAGCTGGCATACCCCTGCACCTTCTCAAGAACTTTTTCTCAAAAAAAACACACCTTTACGACTGAGGGCGAGGTACAGTCACCGCCATGAAGGCCAGTCAGGCCATGCCTTGACGTTGACAGGCAGTGCAAAAAGTTTATGTGAATGTGGGTGGGGACTAGAGGCAGCAGGACCCTCATCCAGTTAACTGACATGCCAAGCCCAGTCCAGAAAAACTCTTTCCCTACGTCCGATGGGGACAGTCGTGTAATGTACACATAAGTATTTAACAGAATGATGCCTCCACCGAGGGTCCTAAGCCCTAATGAAATGAAAGGAAACATTTAGATTTCTTATAATTTGACATTCCAGTTGGGTCACTGGAATATTATTAAATTCAAAATTAAAATAAACAAATGGTTAAAGTAGTTATGTAAAGCATTCTCGAGAGTATTAATTAAGGTCATATTTTAAAATATGAATCAAATACATAGCTGGTCACACCGCGAGAAGCTGCTGAAATAAGAAGATAAAAGGCATATTTAAGAACCGAAAATCTAAGCTAATCTGAATCATAAATTAAAAACCCCAATTAAAGACTCTCTCTCTCTCTCTCTCTCTGTTTTAATATTTAATTTAGAAGAAACACCATAAATTATATATTCACTTCAAACTACATTAAATATGTTGTAGTTTTTGATTGTACAACCATTATTATTTGAGACAAACTTAATGCAAATAAAACTTAAATTACTTTCACTTTACATTTTAGTACTATTTAAATTTCCCTTTAATAAAGAATAGAGTCTAGTGCGTGGCTTCAGTAGCTTTTGGAATTTCCCCTTGCAGCTTGCAAATAAGCAAACACCAAAGTCCAGAGAGGAATGGATCTAGGATACGGATACCCATGTCAAAAAAAAAAAAAAAGAAAAGCCAGAAAAAAGAAGCCTGTGGAATGGGCGGGAAAATCTGACTAGGCTTTGGGGCAGTTGTGAGTTGCGAGCTGCCAGTTGGCAGTGGCAAGGAAACTTGTTTGTTTCACAGAAACAAAAGCGCTTCCGCTTTTCATGTAAAATGACAGAAACAAGTGTTAATGGTTTTGGGCTTAGGCAACTCTGAAACTCAGAGAGAGAGAGAGAGAGGTAAAAGCGCGAAGGACCAAGACAGAGGATGAGGGACGAACAACTGCAGAGTTTTCAGCAGTCCAAGCAGATTAGATATCACACAGAAAGGCGCCGGAGGAATGGTATCTCTGCGGTTGATGGCAATTAAGCAGGGCATACCTCTTAGGATCTTTGAACAAAATTTGAACAATATTTTTATGAGATAAGAAAGTTTTTTCTTACTTTATTTTATTGGAAAAACATTAATTTTGATAGCTTATTTGCATTTTGAGGAGGTTGTTTGGCTGGTTCACCTATGACACTTATCTGCACGGACATACTACGGTTTATACGTACATCCTTTGCTTTGAAATTAAATGTTGAATCAGTTGTTACATAAATCTTTATAGAAATAATATAAATAGGAAACAAATTTATAATCCTTTTCTAAAACGTACACTTATTTTGTAGGCATATTTTATTATAATAATATTATTTAAAAATCCCCTTTAAAAGTTCTAATTTATTTTGTACTTTCTTCATCTGTAGTTTCTTTACTATTTGGTCACATTTTTTTGCACCTAGCATGGGCACTCTAAATTTGAAATGTTTTTACCGGAAGACAATGTGAGTGGGTCTGCATTTTTAATTATATCATGCTAATCAACTTGCGTGTGTGCACATTTAATTTGAACAGTTCCTCCTCGACTCGCATGGCCGCAATTTTCTGCAGGCTTTCGCTTTATCTCTCTATCTCTCTTGCTCCAGCTTTCACCGGAAGTCGCCTTCTCTCTCTCGTCTGGGACGATTTCAGTGTGAAAAACCACCGGTGTCTGCCCCACGAAACCCAAAAAAAAAAAAAAAACTCAACTAGACCCTTGCACCACCTTATCCTCGTCCTGTCTCTGTCTGTGACGTGAGCTCTTTTGCCATTTTGAGTTGGATTTTGCTGTGACTCTATTTTTTATTTTTTGCATTTTCCAGTTGCATTTTTTACCATTCTGTATTTTTGCATTTTACCTCGAAGAATTTTTTTGTGTCTTTGTTTTTTCTTTTTTTTTTATTTTTGCAAATGCAAATGCCTCGGCCTACATGTGTCGGTGTCTGTTTCCTCCTCCCCCTTCTACATAAGCCCCTGCCAGTTGTTAAAACACCCCCTTTGGGGGCGCCCCTTTACCCCCCTTTTCAAACATATGGAAAACTTTTGCCAGCATGTTGCCTACTGCAGTTTTTATTTTTTTTTTGTATTTTGTTTTTCCTCCCACACTAGGCCCCTCTCACCCCCTCTGTTGGCTCCACCTTCGACTGTGCAAAATTACAATAATGAAAATGTATTTGCAAAACTCGCCTAATTAGTTGAATATGAGCCATGTTGGGTATTCAAATATGCACAGGCAAGCTGTCAGACAGTGGCAGGAGCAGGAGAAGGAGCAGGAGCAGAGCCAGGATCAGGAGCAGGGAGGCAGGTCCTGAAGGTGGGGGGAAAAAGACGACTGTGTGGCACAGATAGCAAACACGTGGTGGAAGGAACACAAAAAAAAAAATTTATATATATATAACTACATATATATGTTACTATATACAAAAAAGTTGCTCAATTGCACTGCTTTTGTTTGACGGCAACATGGTAGCATTTATTGCAGTGCCACAGAACTGCAGCTAAATTATTTTTCCCCTCCTTTTTTACATACATTTTTTTGTGCATGTTTATTTAAGCTAATTTCGTTACAATTAACCTTTGGACAAGTCCCTTTTACTCTTCGATTGTGTGGCAAAATGGGAATAAATTCCAGAGAGCGCTAATTAGAGAGAATATAATATATATATTCAAGGTATTTCTGACATATATTCTAAGCTAAAAATCAAGCTTTTTACTATAGAAAATACTTTGCTTTAAAATCCCAAAAATCCAATGAAATATAAGAATAAATTATGACCAGCTTACAATATAATAATTATTATTTAAAAATCCTCTTAAAAAGCGTTTAAAATTTTGCTATAAAATATTTAAGCTAACAGATTCTGTCGAAAAATAATAAAATACAATTTCTGAACTAATCAATTTAAAAATTGGGAAAACATTTTACCAATTAAATTTATAATCCTAATCTAAATGTAGCGTATATGTTTGTATAGAATATCAATAATACATTAAGGTAAAACAATTTCAGGAAGCCCAAGTTTATATACCTTTGCAGTTTACAATTGAATTATAGAATCAAATCGGAAATCGATCATGACTAAGCTTAAAATATTTGCATGCTTTGAATATATCAATATTTCTATATGACCCATTTTTCGACAAAATCAAAATTTAAAAAACTCATAACTCAGCTATAAAATCATTTATTTTAATTCGGAAAGCTTTCCTATGTTAGTTTTTAATAGGTTAATAAATCTGCATACTTGAATCAAAATTAAAAAAAATAAAAATTTTTATCATATATATTAATATTTTATTATATTATATATATATTTTTTTTCCTAATTTAATGATGAAACCCCTTCCAAAATTTTGAAA